GATGCACAAAACGGAATCGAGCTTGTCCTCATCGTCGCCCCCGGTTCAAGTGGCTGGGACGGGAGCGGGGACAGCACGCAGACAAACGTGTTCAGCTCGACGTCGGCGCAGAATTGCATCCATGTCGCCTTCGGCATTGTCTGCCTCACCGAACTCATCTTCTTTGAACGCACCCTCTTCTGCATGCATGCTGAGCGTTACGGGCACGTCCACCCGCGGGCATCGCAGGAGCGCGACATGGCCATCGCGTTCGTACCCTGGAACCACCTGCTGCTCCCACTGTACAAGGATTATGCAAGTTACACGAGGTATATTATGGGATCTATGTACATAATATGAACTAGAGAACGAGAGCATGGGCTTCCTGCACAGCCGTACTGAGCAGAGGAAGCTAGAGCAAATTAGTCGTGAACTCATGTGCAATCTCGTGCACAGGTGGACGAGACGCGCATATGGAGGGGGGGATACAGACGTTGTTAGAACGCGCATGGGGTGGAAGGGTGACTCGTGTGAGTGCTGAGGGCAGTGGAGAGCCTCTAGATGGCCCTGTTACTGGGGTGCTGGATGGTGCAAGAGGTCACCAGCTGGTCCACGAGGACCGACGTCACAACTGGGAGGAGGGGGGAGGGTGCGAATGCTCCCGCATAGACGGCCTATCCACGTCCACGACACCAGAGAAGCGTGCAACGGCACATGACGCGGTTCGTCGAGGACAACGGAAGGCGGGAGACCACCGCGGAAGGGACCCAAATAGCTCCTGCTCTCCAATTGAGAACGGGCGGGCAGAGGGGTGTAAATCGGTGAGTTCAGAGCATCAGAAGGGTGCAAGGGTTACGTGCTGCCTTGTATCATGAGCGAAGGACACACAAGGCCGTTGCATAGGCTGTTGGGTGCACGTCTTGGGGAGGGTTTGGCCAGTCGCCTGAGCGTTCTTGAGGAGAGCGAGACGCTGGGTGATAGCGGTGTTGGTGGAGTCAAGGGAGGGAGACAGCTGTCAAGCGCAAGAGAAGACGAGAAAGGCGAGAGGAGAGAGGATGGATGCGGAGACAAGACAAGAGGGACCAAGTGCGGAAGTTTAGACGCTTGATGTGACTGCGCTGGCAGGCGCGTCAAGCGTCTATATTCCGCACTCTGCCACGTCTCCCTCTGCTCAGGCCTCCATGTGTCTCCGTCTGTCGTTCTACTCAGCACCGCCTTCGGACCTCCTGGCTGCCCAGATAATGCAGGAGCTATGAAGCTGAGGCGGTGGCGGGAGGAGAGGGAGGGATGAGACACTGGTGGGGCAACCGCAACAGACGGTGAGTAATCCATTCCTCTGCAGCTGTGGATGGCTCACACCTTCGGCCTCGGCCGCCTCTCCCGCTCTCCTGTTTACGCCCGCTGTGGTCTCTTCAAGGGCCAGAAAGAACTTCCTGCTCGAGGCCCATGCGACGAAGGTGCGAGAAGAACAGCTCGGACGCGTATCGTCCCCACCAAGAAGCACCCCGCAGTAGACGTCTGCCAACCCACGGAGGGTTGGGAACGCTCCAAGCCCGCCAATTTCCGTACCGCCATAACTACCAGTACATCCTCATTCTCCTTGTGTGTCGCTTGTGTAGAAACATCTGCAGGCGCATCTAGGTAACTGCCGCACTCCACGGCGTCCTCCAGTCCGGACACTGGCCCCAGGTACGATCCGCTCCGCCCGCTCCCTCACAATGTCCTCCTGCTCGGGCGTCACTGACCCCATCTCTCCTCAGCCTCAGCCCTCAGCAGGACTCCCGTCTGTGCCTCGTAGACGCCCTCAGCCGCCTCTTGCTGCTTGCCAAAATGACCACGAAGCGTCGCCTGGCTGGCGAGGGTATATACTGTTGTACCTCTCGCAACCTCTCACGGGCTCCATCCTTGGGTCCTGCGTTCGAGCACAAGCATGAGAGTCCTATCACGCTATCGGCTGTTCCCGACGGCGAGACTGAGCAAGAGGGCGCTACTCCCGCCCGATCTCCACTCATAAGCGACGCAAGCGCGGCGCTCGCAAGGGGCACCACAGCGACATACCGGACAAGTCGGTCGTCGGCGCACGACGTTACCCTCGAGACGCTTGCACAGGCCTCTCAAGCGCTTGCCCGCGAGATCTCCTGCACTTCGCGACGCTCGGCCACTACTCCAGTGTCCGCTACTTAGGACGTTCGTCGAGTTCCGTATCCTATTTCTCTCGGTATGTCATTGCCGCCAATCGCTCTTCCTTCCCTCCTTCTCTTACTTCTCTAGGTTCCTCCACCCCATCGATCTCCAAGAAGATGTCGAAGTGGAAGCCGTTCTTCCGAAAGAACAACGCCAACGCCGCCCGCTGCTGGTGCGAAGTCGTTGCTCGCGGCGGAAGATGGCCCCAGCGCTCCCGAGGTACCGAGTTCAGGTAGCAAGCAGATGTCCGTGACCGCAAGCAACATCACGAACCTGCTAATGAGCCTGAACGCCCCTCCCGTCCGTTCTTCCACGTCGCCGCATACTTCCGCTCCCCTTCCTGCCGAGCGAGACTGCGAGCGCGACTTCGGCAGCTTTGGCGATTACGACGATACGGGTTTGTGGAACCGCGGTCGCCGTCTCAAGCACATACTCTGCCAGCCCGAACGCGAGCAGCACATGGGGTCCCTCCTCTGGCTGTGTCCCTCCTCCAGCTCTCCGTTCTGGTCGTCGCAAGCTCGCGGAGGCCCGAAACCATGCTATGGCGGACCCAGCAGCAGTACCGGGGACAAGATATCTGAGCGCGGGATCTCGCAGTCCAGCACGCGGAGCGGTCGGCCGCTGGTGTCGAGAGCGAGTTCGATGGCCACCAGCAATTTGCGCAGCTCGATGTTGAGCGCTGGCACGTCGACCTGGGCGTTCACGCGCTACAGCAACAACAGTCCGCTCGGTTTTGACGGCGGCGACGAGCGTGTCGTCGCAGAGCTGGCACAGCCAAGGCAGCAAGGTATCCCAGGATCCTGCCCATGCCCCGATGCCTGCGAACGTCAAGTGTAAGTTGCTGTTCTGTCGTTTCTCATCTGGTGATTTCATCACTCACCCGGTGGATCGTGCAGTTGTCACTGGTACAGTATAGGAGCCATACTAGCTACCTCGCCAGATGAACCGGAACTCCGATGATGCGAAGTTTGGTGGCCCACCTGAGCGCAAGCGCCAGGCGAACATTGCCTGCCTGAGTGGTACATAAACTTTCAGTGACCCTATTTTAACCTGTCGAACCCTGATCGTTCTACAGGCCGGGGTAATGTGGAGAGTGCAGGGGGGATGTTGGAGGCCCAGAGAGGTGCGGTGGTGTCTCACGGAGGGCGGTTGTTCTGCCACAATGTGCTCTCTTGTGCTCCACTAACTCTAGATGTAGTCTATAGATGTAGTTGAGAGTTTGTAATAGATTAGCCAGAATGAGTATCGACGTCGCTGCGCACACCACCGTACTCAAGAATATCTGGGTGAATTATTTATCAAATATTTGAAGGAATCACAAGAGGACCCGCAGCGCACACAAGCAGCATTAATGTGGTCCTCGCTATGTAGCGCTGACACTAAATATTTGGCCAATATTTGGTGGAGGGGGAGTACCCTCCTCCCCTCGCTCCTACATACATCCCAAATATTTGGGGTTCGCCTCGAATATCTGGGAGGGGCATCCCTCCAACCGTCTCAAATATTAGGAGGGGCCACTATAACATTTGGGCCAAATAATTCGCGTTTTACTATAACTATAAGGATCGAAAAATTTATCTAACTGATATCCCTGGCATATCTACTTATCGGGCTCATTGCAGATGCCGGCTGATCACGCGCTCCAAAAGACCTGTTTCGGACTTCGCAGTGCGTATCTTAGCACTACGCTTAAGGATTGTGGTGTAACCTCGCTGAATATTCATAGGCATCGGAGCTTGATTCTATGAGCAACGACGAGATCATTGAACTCATCGGGTCTCGTCGCACTGGGACCCTCAGCGCTGAGGCCGGTGTCGACCTGGGCGACAACCACATATTGCCGCTCACCGACACAACCGTTGCGAAGCGGATATGGGACGACCACGATATGTTCGTGTCCGAGGCGCTCACGTACGATCTTGTCTTCCATCACACAACCATCCCTGTCCCACGCGTTCGTCGTGTCATCCGGTACGATTCAGGCGAGTATTCCGTCTTCGTCATGGATCGTATCTCTGGCCAACAGCTTGCCCAAGTCCGGCCTTCGCTGTCTATCTGGGGAAAACTTCGCGTCGCCTTCACCTTGCGCAGTTACATTCAGCAGTTACGCGCCATTAGGCACCCACGTTCCGTCGTCCCCGGCCCGTCGCTCCTGACGCCAAGGCCTTAATTTGCCCATGCCCAATGTTTGGTGAAATAGGGCCTCCTCGCGGACCCTTCTCATCTTACTCCGAGTTATCTGCATTCTGGAACGCCAAATACAATGCAGCTCGTGCGTTTGCGCTTCGTAGAGCAGGCGCAGCTAGCACGGCCATGCCCTCAAAGCCATTCGACGACATTAGACCACTGGTGCTTACTCACTGCGACCTCAACATGCGCAACATCCTTGTAGGCGATGACGGTAGGCTTTGGTTGATAGATTCGGGATGGTCGGGATTTTATCCAGAGTGGTTTGAGTACGTGACCGCCAGGAGGCGTTCAGAGCTCGTACCCTCGGCTAAGCCTGACCACCGGGTATGGGAGGCTCTCATGCC